TCGGAGGGGAGGCGTGTGCTTTTCGCGAGCCGGCGCGTGTGCCGTGCTGAACCTCAGCTCTCCGGAGCAAGCAAGCGCTCCGCAGGGCAGCGTTCGGCTGAAAACCGAGGGTTGCCTGGGGTGGAGGAGCGGTTTCCTTAGAAATGCTGCCACCGACCTTCGTCCGGGGCAGCTGGGGGAGAGCTGAGCTCCCTGCCAGGCCCCTAGTGCCACCTCCTCGCTCCACCCCTGCCTGGCACCTGGCTGCCCCTTTTGGCACCAGACTAGCAGCTGGGTGGGTGCTGAGGACACCTGGTTGCCACGATCCCCAGGGTGGGTGCAGCTGCTTGGCACCCCGCAGCAGGCCTGGCGGGAGGGACCGCTCGGGGTCTCTTTGGCAGGTGAGCAGGTGGAAGAGCTCGGGTTACAAAAGGGAGAGCTCAAGGCCAAAATCACATTGCTGGAAGAGCAACTGAAAAAGGAGGAGGAGAAGCATGAGGTCATAGTCAAGATCCTGGAGCAGAAAGCAATGCTGGACAAGGAGAGGTCTGTCTGGGGATGAGAGAAGCTTCCCTAAGTCCTCTTCCTGCCTGTTCCTGTCACTTTGCTGTGCCTCAGTTTCCCTGCAGCTGGGGATGTGGGCAAGCGCTTTCCTAGGCTGCCAAGGCTGTCAGGGGAATTGGGGCTGGAAGAGTGGGTGACACGGAGGTGCTCCAGCAAGTGTTGTGAGGGATGGAGTGAGCCCCTGTCCTGGCATGGCAGTGGGTACACCTGGGGGTAGCTGCAAGCCGTAGCCCTGCGGTGGGCTGCTCCCTTCACCTACAGTTTGGCGGGCTGTGCCCCCTTTTCCCCACAGCCTGATGAAGGAGATGGAGCAGCGGGTGGAAACTTTGGCAAGTGAGGCTCACAGGAGCATGTCCGAGACCACCCAACAGGTCATCCAGGAGAACGTGGCCCTCAGGGCCCAGCTGGGCAGGTTGAACAGCTACAACAGGGACCTCCTGAAGGATAACGAAGAGCTCCAGGCAGTCATACATGACCTGAAGATGCAAGTGGATCTCCTGGAGGACAGGGAGAAGGAGATGGCCAGGCGCATGATCTGCAACCGCAAGGTCCCAGCCCCCATCTGGGGGAGGGATTGCTGGGCAGCAAAGGGGCTGACACAGCCACGTGCAGTGTCTGTCCTCCTCTCCCTGGCGAGCTGGTACTGGGGCTCTCTGAGCACTGGAGCAGCTTTGTGGCATGGAGACAGCGCGCAGGAGGGGAAGCAAGTGTAGCAAGGGTAGCGTGGCAGGGGTGGAGAGGTAATGGGAGGCTGGGGATATCTGTCCTCTGCCTCCTTGCCTATCTCCTGGTCGCAGGTAATCTCGACGCTAACCACGTTATGTGAGATGCTCCAGGGGCTGGGGGACGAGAGCGAGTGGAAGAAGGTCCAGGGCCAGCTGGAGCAGCTGAAGGAGGCAGCAGCGATGCTGCGGTACGTGTGACCCAGCAAGGCTCCTGGGTCTGTTCCAGCGCCTGCTGGGAGGTGGGTGAGAGGCTGCTCTCTCTGCGGTGCTGGACCCAGCAGACCTCGCAGGCCTAACTAACTTGGACAGGACCTGCCAAGTAGAGCCCAGGGCCTTTGGGAAGCAGCACTAGTGTGGGGAGAAACTGTTCCTTGGGCTGCCCTGTCTGGCATGAGACCTACAACAGATCTTGCCAGGAGGAGCCAGAATTTCCCCAACTGTTGAAAACGCCAGTGTTTTGGAGAAAAAAAAAATCTAACTCCAAAACTGTGAGGACAGCCCTGAAACTTCCCAGCCAATTGCTTCGGCTCAGTGAGCAGATCTTGTGTGTTGGTGAGGTATAAAATTCCAGGCGGCTCTTGATTTCCACTGTTTTTAACAAGGCCAAAGTGGTTTTGGAGCCTACAGACGTCAAAACACGAAACTCACCATGAGGGTGAAAAGAGGGACGCACCACTCAAAAAGGACCCCCTCCCCCAAACCTTTGCTAAAGCCCCCCGAGATCAGCGTTTTCCTGAAAGCCAGATAGCTCCAAAGAGCTGCAGCAGAGGAAGCACAGAAAGGCAGAGCTGGCCATGCGGGGGGCACCGACTCTGGCCCCCAGCCTGGCCAGGCTCAGCACCTGCATGGTATTGCCTACCTCCCGCAGCTGCCAGGAGGCCTCATGGGGGAAGGCAAGGAAGGCAATGTCTGAACAGCACCGCCAGGCTGGGGCCTTGAAAGAGGCGATGAGGCGCATGGGGAGCGTGGAGAGTATTCTGAGCGAGGGCAGAGCCAGCAGCCAGGACCTCAGGGAGGTGAGAGGCTGCGTGGCGGTCCCTCCCCAGCCACACCAGTTGTGATGGCACAGCTGTGCCCCACCTCACACCTCTTCCGTCTCTGTATGCCAGTGATCCTGTCTTCCTCGGCAGGCAATAGCCACGAGGATCCCACTGGAACCAGTGACTTTGCCTTGTACCCTGCTGGGTTGGAGCCCAGCGGTTATCACAGCAGGCACCCACACCAATTCCCTCTTGTCCCTGTGCAGAGGCCACCAGAGAAGATGGGAAAATCCTTGCACTGGGCAAGGTTGCGGAACATGCTGATGATGCAGCAGGTGCAAAAGTCCCCAGTGGAGAGCGTGCTGCTGGCTTTGAAGAAGGATAGCAAGACCTGTGAACTAAATGCACCCAAAAGGAGGTACACTGCACCCCTCTCTGGCACGCATGCAGCCTTCCTCCTCCTGGCACATTCAGCAGGGCCCTGCTAAGGCACCTTCTGCAGGGGTCAAACCCTGCAAACTGGGGCCACGTTGCCTCCGTCCCCTTCTTTCCCTGAGTGCCTGCTCTCCCATCTGGCCCTGCAGCTCCAGCACTATGCAGCCAGTCTTCCCCCCAAAAGCCTTCCCTGCAATCTCTAACAAGGAGCCCTTCAGGATGCAGCTACTTGTATCCCACCTCATGCCTAAACTGAGAGGCTCCAGCCACCTTGATGGGCCACCCCTTCTGGAACCGCCTGTGCCCCTGCCGCAACCTGAAGGTGAGGCACCAGGCAGAGCTGGAGGAACCCTCACAGGGGTTGTCAGGCTCCCGTTGCTCATCCCTTTCCCTCTGGAAGTTTCCCTCCAGCTTGGGCTGTGGGAACAGGGACATGAACATGGATTTGAGCCCTAGAGAGCCCAACCATGTCCCCTATCTGCCACATTTGCACTGTGCCTACAGCCCATGATGAATTATAGCCCGTGAGACGGACAGGAAGATACCCAAAGCTCCAGCCAGGGTGAGCCCAGCGCTCAGGGGTGGCCAGAGTTCAGCTGGCAGCGCAGGGGAGAGCACAACGGGACCTTGCCCTGCAGGCAAAGGAGCAGGGCAGAGCTGGGGCTGTGGGTTTATTTCACGTCTGTGCAAAACTGCCTTATAAAGCAGAGGTTTGCTGCGAAAGAAGCCGACTGGATCCGTACAGGTGAAGAGAATGGGGCTGGAATGGGACTGTCCTAGTGTCCTGCCAGGATGCCTGGCAAACCCCACTCTGCTCGGCACCACGGTCACCCAGGAGAGCTCAGAGTGCCCTATCCATCATCCACACAGGTCCTCAAGGGTTAGTGTCACCCCCTGTCCCCTGGCTCTCCTCTGGGCGCTCTCCTCTGCAGGATGTGCTCCAGCAGGCAAGCGGCTGCCTGGGCCAGGACCTGCTGCAGCACCTCCTGCTCCCTGCTGCTGAACGGGCCCAGGACGTAGCAGGTCACCGTCGTTTCGCCCTCCGGCCGCCCGATGCCGACCCTGAGCCGTGTCATCTCCTGTCGAGGAAAAAAGAGTGCCTGGAGGAGCTGTTGGTGGCTGGTCCCCACCAGCAGGCACCTGAAGGGGCCAGGCTCAGAGGGGAGCTCCCCCCAGGCACATTAGGATGGCAGAGGCACCGAGGCTGGGAGAGGAGCCCAGAGCCCCTAGAGCTGGCTCTGAGCGGCTCGAGGGGACGAGGGACAGTGCTGCACGGGGGTGGTGGGCCGGGTGACAGTGAGGGAAACGGGCCTCCCCACGCTCCCCTGGGGTTGTTTCGGGCCCTGTTCCAAAAAACAGGAGTTTGGGAAGAGGCTTTTGTCGGGCTCTGCTGGGCCCCAGGCTGCTGCCAGGCCAGGCGGATCCGCTTGAGCTAATTGTTTCCATGGCCTCGACTGATCCCCTTCCCCAGGGGCCCACTCACGTCGGAGTGCAGAGCGCTGATGCAGGATCGGACCCCGTTGTGTCCCCTAGGGAGAGAACGACAAAACCCACCGTTAGTTTGTGGGAGACCCCCCCGCCACAGGACGGTGCTTGGGATCCCTGGCTGCAGGGACGCGGGGACACGGTCCGTCCCACCCAGGGGATGCAGCTCCTGCGCCCTAACTCTGCAAGCAAGTCTGTACTCCCCGGGGCTGAGAGTGGCTGCAGGCAGTGGGGAATGAAGGGAAGCAGGGTTGGGACAGCACGTTCTGCGTGTCTCGGCTCTTGCTGCAGCTGGTGCATGTGCGACTGAGCCCCAATACCCTTCTGGGCAGCAGCTGCTGAATTTGAGCAATCTTGCTGCAGCAGGATGGGAACAATTTCTCAGTTTCTAGCACCATCAGCCCCCCCAGCCCACAGCGAAAGAGTTCCTAAGTTGTCTTGGGGCTGATTCAGGAGCTGACGCTGGAGCTGGCAGAGTGGAGGCATCAGGCCCTGGGGTACTACATAAAGTCCATACGGTGCAGCTGATGGGCTGGATCCAGCCCGCAGCCCCCTCCAGGAGGCTCCCTGCCTTTTCTCTAGCAGGACAGGAATCGAGAGGCTGGCCAACCAGCCAGCTGTTGCCTCTGTATCTGGGATCAGGCCCAGGGCTTGGCGCTGGGGCTGCAAGCACTGGCAGGCTGGCGGTATGGGGCCAAGAACTGCCCTGGTGCCCAGAGGTGCACAGCAAAGCCCCAAACCAGCTCGCACAGGCAGAGAGCCTGGGCCACCCGGAGCGGCTCAGAGAGCCGCTGCGACGTTATTGTGCTCCCCTCCTTCTCTCCCATACCTTGCGCTGCCTCCCTGCTTGAACGCCACCTTCCCCAGGGCCTTGTCCAGGTCATCGTGAACCAGGTAAATGTCTTCCGGGCCCATGTTGTACATCTTGGCTTTGGAAACACAAATATGGCCCAAGAAATGAGCAGGAGACAGATTTCACTGTGCCCCGGGCCCAGAGCGGGGCTGCAGGGACCCTGTGCTGCAAGGCAGGGGGACACAGCAGGGCTGTAGCGGGGGCCAGTGGTGCGTGGTGTGCAGAAGAGCCTGGGCTGCTCTGCAACCAGCCGGTTCCTCTGCACTGCCGGGGCCACCCAGCAGCTTCGGACCGTGTCCAGGAGGAGCTATGAGTCAAGGGGGAGGTGGGTGTATAGAGAAAAGCCCTACATGGGGGGTCTGAGGGTACAGCAGACCCAGGGCAGAAAGCGCGGCCCTGGACTAAAGTAGCAGAAGCCCCACGGGAGCCTGGGGCCCCGCGAGCCCCGTCGGGCTGGTCCCCGGGGGCGATGCCGAGCTGCTCACCGGCGCTGGCGACGCTGAGCCCGTTGAGGTTCATGAGCCTCCGCGGCTTGAGCAGCA